TGATATAATTGAATGATAAGGAATAAAATATTTCAACAATTTCTCTATAGATATCTTAGATTTAATTGGTATTAATTAGTAAAACAATTATTGACATTAATTGTGTGAATATATGCCTATGTGTTGAATGTGTTGCGTAAAGCCAAGACTCAATATAACGACAATTAATGGCAACAATAGATGTAATGTTTGCTCTTTGAACGCATTGAATGCAATGAAAAGCATAGAAAGCAATGAATACATGGCTTTAATGGTAATAATGGGGGGAAAACCAAACAAATGATAAGAGGATTCATGACATGGATTCTTGACGTACACACCAACTCTTGGCAACTATTTTTTAGACCTTTACTGCCTTTTCTCCATACAATCACATAATCATAATATAGTAATTAAAAGGAAAGGCAAAGAGTGGTACATCTGCTGCTCATTTACTCTAAACTTTTTTCTTGTCTTACAAACTATTTGCAAAAAGTGATGCAGTTTTCAAACTATTCATACGATTCGTGTGGAACTCTATCTCTAATTCCAAACATAGCTAACTGTTGAGCAATACTTGTATTGATTGTAGCGTTGATTACACTATAATTCAACAGTATATAAACTCATAACTATAACAATATCGCGATTTTTGCGTTGTATTTATGACTGAATTTTGTTGATTCACAATCTTGAATATTTATTGAACTATAAATTTATTTTTAAAAAACTTTATCCACAGTCACTTGTGATTATTTTTTCACGATTTACTACTAGTGCTGTCTTTCCACGAATTCGTGTAGACATTGAATAGAGAATGGATTGTCTGTTTGACAAACTTATTGGTGTTGGAGTTAAATATCAATATTAGTGTAATATAAGTGATATAAACGACATCATGCAATAAATAAGCTTCACTTCAACATCACTCCAGTCTAGAGTTAGTATTTTTGTGCGAAAAGTTAAAACTTTTTTTGTTGTTTTGTTAAACAGAATGTGAGACCAAATTGAGGCCATTCTTCAAGAATATTGAATAAGCAGTGAATGAATGGTTGCATTCATTTGGTTGTTAGCATTGGAATGAATTCAAACCCCATTCATAGCTAACTCTCATTAATAATATCAATAATACGGTAGAAGTGGAGTGAAGTATTCAAAACATTATAAATCGGTGTAAATGTAAAGCAGATTCTCTTGACTACAAGTGTGACATGAAGCTGTCTATCACTTTATAACTGCTTCCGATCATTGCTTAACAGTTAGTAAATGGTTGATAAGTTTGCCCATCAATTCCCTCATCACCACTGATTGCTGTGACAATCGCTGTAATGGTTAACAATACTTATCACCACTTTTTATCAGCTTTCAATTATATTGTTGTTTCATGTAATCATTATATCGATGTTATACAGTATTGAGAGTGACCTTGTTTTCAATTATATCCACTATTAGTAGTGATTTTCACTAATAGTGTACTACTTTTTCATAGTTTTACGGTTACGAGTGATTATAAACATTTATATATAGTAATAAACTATGCCACCCAATTGTTGTATAATTATTACTAAACGCTATATTTTTACGCTATTAGCGATAATCATTACATTGACACAAATCATTAAAACTCACACCACTTGTACTCAAAGCCATTGCAATCTAAGCCAATGTCCCAATCCTTCGGAATGTATGCACGGGTTTACAGACGACGAGTGCCAGTGCTGTCAGGTTTGCCTCAAAACTAAAGGAGAAACTTGTGGTCCAAATGACAAGTGCGCCAAAGGTCTCAAATGCCTGTCCCCACAGCGCTTGGACTCCATAGACACTAATTTAGTGAACAGTGACCAAGAGATCGGTGTTTGCGGAGCACTCAACTGCACGGGTGTTATCTGTGAAAATACCAGTGCTTTCAAAGAGATCAAGTGTCCCAATGATAGCTATAAGTTGTTGAGCGCTACGAACAACTCGTGCTGTCACACTAAGTAAGTGCTATTCCATATAATTGCCTTGATTAATTGTCAATTGGGTTTAGATGTGTATGCCTTCCGGACATATGCAGTGATTTGCAAACCATTTGTCCAAATAATAAGAGACCGCATATCGTACGACCCGGTGATGGCAAACCCGGTTCGTGTTGCGACCAAATTCACTGCATTGAGGGTAGGCTTGAATTTGTTGCTATTACTAGTGTATAAATATTTGCATAAAATTGTCAAAATTAAATGTTGTATAAAATTAAAGCGCCGACAAAATGCATTCATAATAATAAGCAGTTTCTGAATGGAGACAAATGGATGTCCGATAAGTGCACGACCTGTGAGTGCAGGGATGGCCTGTCTTTCTGCTATAAGAAACAATGCAAACAATTGGTCCAAAAGGACTGTAATGTGATGACTGGCATTGAGGATGAGTGTTGTCCCATATGTCAAGGTATTACTTAATAACATAGATTGTTATTTATGAAACTCTTATAAAACTGTTTATTCTTATCTATGATTTGATTTATTGAAAGTTTGATGAAATTAAACCTAAAAATAGGTTGCATTTCATCGAATGGAAAGTTTTATAACAATACTCATAATTGGTATGAAAACGATTGCTCTCATTGCGAGTGTAATAACGGACAGATCAGTTGCAAAGTGCAAATGTGTAGTCCTGTCCACTGCGATAAACCTATTAATATAGAGGGACAGTGCTGTCCAATATGCCCGACAAAGTCAGCCAACACTTGCAATATTGATTGCCCTCAGGGCTATAAACGTAACCATTTTGGACATGAAATCTGTGAATGCGATCAGTGTTTGAATAAATTATTCAAATGCAAAATATTCTGTCCTAAAGGTTTCCAGAGAGGATCGGATGGCTGTCCTATATGTCAGTGTCTAACACTTCAATATAATCTCAACCGAAACAACAGTATTACTAAAACGGAGGACAGTGTCTGCAATCTAACCAATGGTTCGCTCGTAACAAACGGTCTCTTTTGGAGCGATGGCTGTCGGGAATGTTTCTGCAATTCCGGCAAAATTATGTGCACTGAACCCAACTGTCCACCCATTCACTGCTCAACTCCTGTTTTTATTACAACCCAGTGTTGTCCCATATGTATCCAACACTTCAATCAAGGTATGCCTCAATCTTTCATAATTTCATGACATAATATTCATCAACTTTTTTATATTAAACAAAACTCAAAACACCGAAAGTTTTGCAAAGTTTACCATAAAATAGTGTAGAAATAAAATATTTATAATTCTGATATTTAGTTAATGCGGTAATCGGCATTCTGTAAAATAGACAAATTTTAATATACTGTAAAATATGAATATAAATATAGTTTACCGGTATATGGAAATTATTTCAGTCAATTTCTTTTAATTTACAAAATGTTATGTTAAGTAATGATTAACAAAATTCTTTCCCACTCAAATGCATTCACCTTCCTAGCATTTGTTCATGTATTTTGACCAAGGCATTTAAAAGATCTATGACATAGACCAATGAAGAATTAATGCATAGATTCTATGTTTTAATGTCTTTATTATAAATACTGTATAGTATATACGGTACTGTATGTATATGCCTACACATTGTTCAGTTACTGTATGTGCCGTGATATTCCTAAATTGCCTGGATAACACATTTCAGTATATTCTAGAGTCTAGACATGATTCTTTAATAATTGAGCCTATAAATACTAAAATAATCCTTATACTTGTAAATACATGAATACTTGTAGTATTGTTAATTGTAAACAAGAGAAAAATATTTACTTTTGTTGTCATTTTATTTAGATGTCAACCAAAACAGCGGTGCAATGACTTCGAGTCACATTCACTCTCATCTATTCATAACAGCAATCATTTTAACACTTATTATAGCGATACTATTGTTAGGAATATTTATATTACTGGCGATATTTATCACTAAAAAATACCCGCAAAAATATATGCGAAACAGAGTTATAAATGGCTCGTTAAGGGAGAGTGGGATCATTCACTTGTGGCCTAACACTACAGACCCGACACAGGCCTCACAAACACCAGATAAACAGTTGCTGAGTGTCGGCGTCGGAAATGCAAATGATAATTTACTTAATTATGACTCCCTTCGCATCAATGATACTCTCGAAGATAAGCTCTTAGCCAGCAGTCCTCCCAATGACTAAACACTGACTACAGTGTCCCATCACTAAACTGATTGACTACTCTTTCAGTTGTTATTTATTTTCTGTATAATTTGTAAACTTATTCTAAATGTACTAAACCTTAAAGTACTCTAACGCTAATTATTTGTTTATGTTATTGTGTGAAAATTGGTTATTTATTTGTAATTTCCAATGTTTATTAATCAACTACAATATGATGAGTTAATAAACTATAAAGCTAAAAGCATTTAATAATAAATACTTGTAATTGCTATATTTTGACCGTAAAATATTTGTAAAAATGTAATTTGAAATGATTTAAGTTTATTAAAGAATCTCAAACTTTAAAATATGGTATAAAAGTGAATTGTATGAATTTCGAAAAATTGTCAAATAAAATATGTTAATTCTATAAAACGTAAACTAAAAATTGAATTATCATAAAATAATAAATTCTCTAATACAATGAATAATTGTGTTGAACTTTCTTATCTAATTTAGTTGATTCACAGTTAAGAACATAACTTAGAAAAGTATGTTAAAAAATCTTCATACCGTACAACAAACTGAATACAATATCAAGATTTAAGTTTTAACACTTAGGACGAAACAAAATAATCTAATTTAGTTGATTCACAGTTAAGAACATAACTTAGAAAAGTATGTTAAAAAAATCTTCATACCGTACAACAAACTGAATACAATTTCAAGATTTAAGTTTTAACACTTAGGACGAAACAAAATAATTATACAAACCATGAAAATATATTTGTACAGAAAATAATTATTATATTATACGGTATATTTGACTAACCATACTGTATACTATATAATATACAGTGTATAGCATGGTGATTCAAAGATTTATTTAAAAGATTGAGGATAAAGAAAATTGTGAATTCTGATCATATGTTTCTATGTGAAGGTATCTAAATTAAATATAGAAAATAACTTAATCAACAATTCAATTTTAAATAATTTATTGTATATTTAAAAAATTCAAGTTTAAATGGAATCTTTAGAATTACATATAAATTTTGCATGGAAATTATTGTAGCAATATAATGACTTTCATACTGTTTATAATTTAAAATTTATTTAAATAATAAAAATTCTAAAAGAATTGTTAATTACTTAATTAAAGTTTCACTTGACTATTTCTTGAAATATTTTGTAAAATTAAAATATTCAATACGTTTTTAGAAACTTTTGACTTCAATAATTTTATATAATTAAACAAAAAGTTTTCATTCAACAGAATATTCGTATAAAACTTATAGATTAATTCTATAGTACTGTATATTCAAATAGAATATTCTGTGACTGAAACATGTAAGCAAATATTAATGTTTCTGTACTGTCCACCTGTACTGTAATTACTTTATTTTCATCAATACATTCGGTTAAATACTGTACGCAAAGTATTTGACATGTAAAAACAAATCAAATAAATAATAATTTATAAATTGGCTTTAAATTTAAAATCGGCATAATTTTTAACCATTGGATCGCTTTGAAAGCGAGACAATTGACTTAATTCTGTGATTATATCGTTCAGACCGCTAACAATAGCTCTTAAATTATTATCGTTATCTTTAGACAATGCATTACTT